AGAGAGGGTGAGATCGATAGACAAAGGACATGAGAAGAAATTGAGAGAGAGAATTGGTATGTGTGTGTATGTTTGCGCATGAGCGTATCGAACAGAGAGAGAGAGAGAGAGAGATGAGTGCACGCGAGAATAAGTGGAAAGGTATGTAAAGTATATGAAAACCAAGTTTTCATTGCACTCACGAGGCGTAGCTTTTATGAAACTTATTTTTATGTAAGTATGTTGTAACGTAGCATTAGACAATGAAGATTTTCGCATTTGATGCGGCGATTTACATTGCTAAAATAAATCAAGAAGTGTAACAATGTAACACTTTACTAAGTAATAGACTGAATTTTAAAAACATGTTTTTGTAAAAAATATTAAAAAGCAATTGTATATTTATATTTTGACTAATTATTGTATAACAAATTTTTGATTATGAAAAATATAAATTTTTAAAATAAATTACGAATATTTATTTTTCAAATTAAATTCAAGTAATATTACAAATGATATAATTTCGATTTTTTTAAATAGCAAAGGCATATAATAATCGTTTATTAATTTTTGATGGATTAAATAAATTATGGCTCAGGAAATAGTCAGTCAAAGGTTCAAGATGGATTTTGAGATACAAAATAATATATGGACAAGTGTAAAAAACTGAAAAATATTTATCGCATTGCATATAAAATAGATAATAAAGAAAGCAGCTGTGAAATAATTATTGGTATAAGTTGGTTAAAAATTTGTTTTTTACCAGCAAGAAAAAGATATATTGAAGTGAATGGGATGTACGGTATCAAAGAGTGGGAAGGTAGAAAAATTGACATTTAATAAGTTAACATCTCCGTGGTCATAACAATGACCTTGGTCCAAGTACAGTTTCAAACATCACAGAATTTTCAATTCTCATGGTAGAATCTAATGAAACCACTTTAGTTTACGTAACGACAATGAGTGAGCAAGATAATGAAATACCAAGAGTTACCAGCGGTTTAGACGACTTGTCTGATTGATAGATTGAAAACGTGGTTCAACTATCCAATTTTTTACTTAATACACCTATTGTCCGCATGTAGTGTATGCTGCTTCTGGCTATAGCAAATGGGAAAAGTAACGGTACTTGACTGTACCTACTATAGTACCTTTCTTTGACTAGAAAGAGAACACACGTGAGGTAAAATAAAATTATACAAAAATGTCTGGGGGTCAAATGTTGAGCAATATGGTGGTGAAGGCCATTACCGTAAAAATGATTCTTTTTATAGAAAATGTACTTTTTGATTTCAACAAATTCTTTATAAAATTATTAGCTGCGAAAATTGTTGATGATTTATAAGACAAATATTTGCTTGGGCCGTATTAGTAAATGAGGAAATTAGCGAATGAAAATGTTTTCGATAATCGCTTGAATATAATAAATTATTAAAACGAGAAACAATACATACTGGTAAAACAACATTGGTAGTTCTTCATAAACATTAATGATAAAATTATACCTGGAGGAAATGAAATATGGAAAATGGATATTATCTTTTAGCCTATTCAAATCAACAATTTAATTCAATCCAAACAAATCTGAACTTTATACAAACGTATTAATCAATTAATATAAAAGCTAATTCTTCTTTACAATAAATACTTACATTTTCCAATATTGTTAATTGTTCTATTCATTTACATTTACCATATAAAGTGCTAGATTTCACAAATTTTTTCATTTATTTTTTCACACATATAAACGTTTGGTAAATACATTTTTATACCCTACATTTTGACACAAATATGTACCGAAGCAATAATGTAATTACATGGTGATATATTTTGTAAATCTATAATAATAAAGGAAAAATCGACAGAACTAGCAATATTTTACTATTGAATATGAAAGTACAGATATGTATGCATTAATATATGTTTATTCTCCCAATTCAATCGTAAACTATCATCTATCATCATATTCATATTTATTAATTGTAAGAAATAAATACTTAATTACTGCTGGTTTAATTGAAAATCTAGCAGTTTTATTGAAATCTATAACTATCGCATTTAATATATTATAAATATTCTTTTTATTGTATTTATATAATATATATTTATCGAATTATCCAACACTAAAACGAATATAAAAGTTACTTACGTCGTCCTTAGTTATCAGTCATCCTGAACTTTAATCAACTGCCAATTGAAAATTATTTCGAATAATTTCATTCTGACTTTGGCTTTTTATTCTTAAGACTACCAATATAAGTGCAATAAACGCGTAGAGATTCGAAATCAAATCTTAAGTTGGTAGTTACGAAAGCTGCCAACACAAGTATTGTAGCAATGAGAAGTCGCGTACCTTGTGTTTATTTATGATTGTAGTTTTGTTTTTATATAAATTTTAATATACTTTAATAATTCTAAGAAGCAGGTGTCAAAATGTTAGTTCTTTTCGAAACGCCGGCAGGATATGCTATTTTTAAGGTCAGTTTATTTATAAATTTTGTTTCCCTCTTTAGTGATATAACCTCAAAGTTGTACACGTGCTCGTTAAGAAGAGCATAATCAATGTTAAACATAAAATTACGAAAATGACGTTCTGTATCAAATGGTGAAAGGGCACAAATTGTTAAAAACGACATTCAATTTTATATAATATTGTTTATAATTGCAGGTACTCGATGAAAATAAATTGGCCAAAACCGATAACCTGTACCTGGATTTTGAAACACCTGAAGGAGCTAGTAAAATGTAAGTAAATAGTGAAAAAGTCTCTTGGATCAGTTGGTAATTTTAATGAAGTATTTGCAATTTTATAATTCAATTGTTTATGCATGTAAAAGCAAGTGTGGATGATTTTTTTAAAGGGTATTCATTTATTTTTAGCCTTAAACTTAAACATTTTGAGAAGTTTGCCGATATGACGGAAGCTCTAGCTGCTACAACAGCAGCTATCGAGGGCAAACTATGTAAATCTTTGAAGAAGTTATTGAAAAGACAGTGCTCCGAAGTTCAAGAACAAATAGCTGTTGCGGATGCTAAGCTTGGAAATGCCATTAAAGACAAATTAAATTTAGCTTGCGTTAGCAATACATCGATACAGGAATTAATGAGGTGTATAAGAAGTCAAATGGATGGTCTGTTAGGTAATTTACCTAAAAGAGATATTACAGCAATGGTGTTAGGTTTGGCTCACAGTTTATCTAGGTATAAATTGAAGTTTTCTCCAGATAAAATTGATACTATGATTATTCAGGCTGTATGTCTTCTGGATGATCTTGACAAAGAATTAAATAATTATGTTATGAGATGCAGAGAATGGTAAGTTTTAGTATAATTTATTCTTTGGGATAAACATGAACACAATTTTTATTTCGATTAAAGGTATGGCTGGCATTTTCCTGAATTGGGCAAAATTATTACCGATAACATTGCGTTCGTTAAAACGGTAAAGATCATTGGAACCAGAGAGAATGCTGTTCAGTCCGACTTGTCAGACATTTTACCAGAAGACATCGAAGAGAAAGTTAAAGAAGCTGCAGAAATATCTATGGGAACAGAAATTTCACACGACGATATTATTAACATACAACACTTGTGCGATCAGGTAATCGATCCATCATTTCTTCATTATCAAATAGCCAATGGGCTTCAGTAATAAATAACGTTTAGATATTAATTATCGTAAGATCATCATCCTTTTATATTTTTTAACATTATCTACTTTAGTATATTCGACAAATTTTGAGGGGTCTGCTTCAATTAATGAATCGTATGCTATTAATCGAATATGTATAGCTGTATATCAAAAACCACCTTTCCATATTACACTCCCAGCCATATTCCCATACCATTATTTAAACATCGTGTAAATAATTTTGTATAAGTTTGATAAATTTCATAACAATAATAATTAAAAGAAGAATTTATTATTAAATGCTACTTCTTTTCAGGTAATAGAAATCTCTAATTATAGAGCTCAGCTGTACGACTATCTCAAAACTCGCATGATGGCTATGGCGCCAAATCTCACAATTTTAGTCGGCGATTTAGTAGGCGCACGTCTCATTTCTCACGCTGGTTCGCTGATTAATCTCGCTAAGCATCCGGCATCAACCTTACAAATCCTCGGTGCTGAAAAAGCTCTTTTCCGAGCTCTTAAAACCAAAAAGGACACTCCAAAATACGGTCTCATCTATCACGCTCAACTCGTTGGTCAGGTAAATATTACTTCCCAGCGCTGTTACGAGTTTCCTTAAATATTCAGTGTCCTTCGTCGTCGTTGGTTCAATCGAAGATTTGTAATATAATTGGACACTTTTACAAATTTCAACTGTTTGGCATAATGGGATAAGCGCAAATTTCCATTCCATTAATCAGTACGTTTATAGGCTCTTTTACAATTTCAATCACATTAAACGGCAAATCGTAACAATTTTAAGCTCAATTATTTCATAAAACAATAAATAATTTATTAACAATAATATCGTTGGTGTTTCTTATTATAAATTCGAATTGATCGTGAACAACAAATTAAGCAAAGATTTTATCGATGTACGTTGTTATTGTAATGGAAACACGGCACGGTAGAAATACAATTCAAATTCTAAAATGTTTATTTAAAAATTAGAGATTTTATTTTTCTGCATCTATCTATGGAGCGGGAGATAGTCATTGCTGGTTTTATTAATGCTCAGCTCACACAGCTATAGTCTTGAAATACTCTCGAAACATCCCGATCTCATAATACACTTAACTTTGAAGAGAGAGAAAGAGAGATAATGATGTAACGAACGTCGTTCGCTCTCGCGTATTTGCATGACAATGATGAAGTGTGGATGGACGACGAAGCGACACCGAGAAATATCGAGTAGCATAATGTAACTTCCCATGACTTAATCCCCCCATGTTTTGTGTAGGCGACGACCCGCAACAAGGGAAAGATGTCGCGTATGCTCGCCGCCAAGGCGGCCCTCTGCACGAGGGTCGACGCTCTCGGAGAGGATGAGTCGTTCGACCTTGGGACCGAGCACAAGGTAAAGCTCGAGGCCCGGTTGCGGATCCTCGAGGAGGGTAACAACATGAGGAGAATAAGCGGCACAGCCAGGGCCAAGAGCGCCTTCGAGAAGTTCCACACGAAGAGCCAAGTGCTGGAGTACCCGGCCGCGGCCGATTCCACGATTCCTAATGTCAAACGGCGAATATCAGAGGTCGAGGACAGAAAGCCGCTTATCGAGGAACTCGGCACAGAGGTCGAGAGTCCCGAAAAGCCGAAAAAGAAAAAGAAGAAGATCGAACCCGAGGCCGAGGAGAATAAGGACGAGGAGAAGTTCGTGCTTGAGCCGGAGGAGGCGCCTACAAAGAAAAAGAAGAAGAAGAAGAAGATGAAGGAGGAGGAGGAGGAGGGGGAGACGGTGGTGGAGGTGCTGCCGGAAGTGAAGCAGGAAATTGAGGAGACGCCCATGGACGTGGAGCTTGCTCCTCATGGTTCGTACAATATACGTAATAATATTTGCCAATCTCGACCGATTCGACGAGTTTCAAACGATCGATTATAACGATAATGAAATTTAGATGACGCAACGAGCACTTTCTTCGCTTTCACCTTCAAGTTGCGTTATTATTTCCCCGTTAAATTCTTTCCAATGATCAATTTATTCGTCTTTAACGATCCAAGCCAATCTACAAGCGATGAATAAACTTCCATGGCTATATTGTATTTATTTACGTATGCAATTTTTTGTGGATAAATGTAATCTGCTATAAGCTAGAAGCTTTTTGACAAAATTGATTAAATAGATGATAACGCGGTTTACGATTAAAAAAAGATTTCAGCTACTCTGATATTTGCTATCAATACGTTAAAAGTGGAGTGGTTTTTTTATAGTAGAGAAGATCATGCGTGTAAATCAGAATTATTAATTTATTTCATTTGTACAATCGAGTATTCGTCTTGATAATATATTCAGTAGCAAAACATCATATGCAAATGTAAGTCAATGTAAATTATAAACAATTTATTATTAACAAAAAGATATAGAGGAAGGAAACGTATAAGGAATAAGCAATTAATTATTTTGATGAACTCAATTGTAGGATCATAGAAAATTGCATTTACAGATTATAAAATATTAATTTTAATAATGCGTATGCTGATCGCATTTGAACTTGGGTTTAATTGATGATTGCGCATTCATTATAGCGAGCGTTTATTATGTTTCAGAAATCAAGAAGAAAAAGAAAAAGAAGAAGAAGGAAAATGCAGACGAAGTGGAAAACAATCAAATAGCTGATGAGAAATCAGCACCAGTTAATAAGGAAAAGAAAAAGAAAAAAAAGGGGAAAGAGAAGGAAGTTGAATAATTGTAGTTAAGAAAAAAAAAGACCTTTACTTTTTTTTTCTCTTGTCTAGTAATAAGATTTATTCATCGCAATGAAGAGAAAAAAAAATACATCGATATATTCATTTAAATGAGATGCATACAAAATATTTTTGATATATTGTATTGCGATATGACGTAAAATATATTATTTTTTACCAGTAAATTATAGTCTGTCGCGCAAATCGTCGTTCCAGACTTTTTTGTTTTTCTAATCCAAACTTGGTGGATAAACTCCGTCGCAATTAATGAAAAAAAAAAATAATAATAATAATAAAATTTTTGCCTAGACAAGATTTGTCTACTCGTCGCTGTTAACTTTTTTTTTTACAGGTAAATATATTGTTGCAGCGAACTTGCCGATTTTCGGACGAAATATTTTTTTTCAGCGTCTTTTTTTAATTCCTGAAGAGGACAAATTTAAACAGTCTTGCGTACTCGACGAAATAATATAACGAGTACAAAATAAATCAGTACGATAGTTGTTTTCCCTAAAGGTAATTCTTAATTCTTGCTAGATAAATGTTTGTAAAAGTAAACGGTAAAGTGAAGTGTTATTAATGGATGTATGTATGTATGTATGTATGTATATAAACTACTAAACTATTAAAAGGATCATTGCACAAAGAATTGTTACTTTTGCTAAGATTTGTTGGAAACTGATTATAAATTAAACAAATTTTAAAGTAAAGGAAGTGTTAACAACTACTTGTACTTAATATAAAAAGAACTAATATCTATTTTAAAACTAAACCATTAAATCGTAGCTACGCTTACAAAAAATTTCTAATTTATTATTGGTGGATTTCATTGACTGTTCTACATAAAAATTTATTGTATTTATACATCTACTAAATCACCTTGAAAGGAGAGCCTATGTCAATGACGATCATTTTCAATTAATTTTTAATATTTGAACGAATAATTTGTACAAATTTTATTGCATCGCACGTTTCATGTGCAAATTTTTAATTTTTTACTTCTTTTGTTGCGAATTAAAATGGAACAAATGGCAAATGGTAGAGATGTAATTGAATACAAAAAAAAAAAAAAAAAAATTCCTAATGTTGCTGGCAAATTATTTAAACTTTCTTTCAAAAATAATGATTTAATATAAGCAACACTTTTGTTAATGATAATTAGTGATAAACATGAAATAATATAGAATTGACCTTAGGTGCTCCTTAAAATTTTGATTCTTGGTACACAATGTAGAATGTTTGTTTTACTTAAACACACAATCACAGATTGACATACATGCAAAACACATAATAAACACTAAAATTACTGTGCTTAACAAAATCAATGCTGATGCAAGATTTTTTTTTGAATATTATTTACTTAGCTCAGTAACGCTGAATCAAATTATAATTCATTGCTTGTATTAAGTAATAATATTTTAAGCAAATTGACGATTCATAATTTTTAAATGGAAACTCGCCACAACTTGGAATACATAAAGTTGAACTTCTTGCTTACATTCTACTAATTTTTTCATCTTATCAAAGTTGATGTATATTATTTAATCAGTGTTTTCAACACATTTAATTCAAAACAACGTCAAGTTGGCAGCGTAAAGCTACAGAGTTCCTCTTCATTTTAATTTATTAAATTTTTTTATGAACTAGATTGCAATCAACTATTGATTCAATCCATCCATTCATAAACTGCATATTATTAAGTCAATTAAAATATATTAGTTATATATTTCTCATATATAAATTAGTAATTTTACTTGATAAATTGTGTCTCAACTTAAATTTGTACAAATGACTGACTTCGCATGGTATAAACTAGGCGCAAGCGTTTCGTATAAACCAATCGGAATGAAAAATGAATCTTACTTTCGGCACAAAAGTTTCCGCAACGAAAAATTTGTGAATTACAAAAAAAAAGCCTAACATTTGTTTAACCAGCTTTGCAAACACCTTATGCAGATAACACCAAATTTTTTTCATTTTTCAAGCGCACGGATTATTTCTGCAGATTCCGTAATTTTTATTGCACATTAGTACTGAACAAAAAGTACAAATCTGCACTTACATTTCAAATAATTTATTTTTAATTCATCCTACTAAATTCATCACATAATAAATATAATGTGAAAAAAATTGTGAAGATTTCTGCCGGTGTATCTTTATAATAAGTAAATATTTTTACAATGAAAACTATTTCAAAAATATAAGTTTTTAATTTTTGCATTATAATATACATAATAATTTATTTGCCTGTTATTATGTTCATATGTTAAAGTACGTAACATTTTTATTTATTAATAATTTGATTAATATTCAATTGCAGAATTAAATTGAGCAATCGTTAATTTTTTTTATTTCTATGTTATTATGCATTATTAGTTCACGATTGTATTAATTTTATTAATAATCTTATGTGCTTTATTTTTGCTTCATAAATAATGATCAAAATGAAAAATTTATCTTTTTGAGATAGTTTTATTTATATTTCATCGAAACGAAACAAAAACAAAAAAAAAAAAAAAAATCAACTTTTTCTTATTTCAAGACCATTCATAATTAATAATATTTAAAATTGTGACTCGGTTAACATTTATCGTAACACGTACACAGTATGTAGGCAAATACGTGTGATAAATGTTTTTCTTTAACTTAAAAAGAAAGCAACGAAAGCATATTATAAAGAAAACGAATATTGCACAGATGACTCGATATGCTGCAGGCTGTACATTAGGGTACTTAGACAAAATCACGCAGGATAACATCCTTACCTACGCTTCCGTATTCGTCCTAATATATTTTTCTGTTTATATATTTATATAATATATGATTTTTTATATTTATATTCGAAGAAATTTTACAGTTTGGTCGCTGTATGAAAAATTAATTTTTTGGAGCATTTGTCAATAGCTTTCTTAAGTACAAATTCTAAAAAATAGCAATAAATACTTACAAGAAAATGAAATCTCCTGAGTAAGTATAATTTATAAAAAGTTAAATTTACCTACAAAACAATTTCAATTGTGTGTGTGTATATATATATATTTAAAAAATAAAAAATAAAAAAAAAAATACACGTTAAAAAAATTTCTCTTAATAAAATTATTTCCTTAGAATTTCACTATCTTTGGCTTTGAATTCTGAGAAAACAATTATTTCTCATCAAAAAATTTTCATTTAAGAGACATTTCTGCAATAGCTTCTTCTACATTGGCTTGTACATCGAGGTAAGAAAGTTTACGAGAAAACGAAAAATAATACAAATAAAAGGATCAAAAATTCATTTTCACGGCGTGAAAACATCAAAGACTTCCAAAAAACTAATTTTTGAAAGACCAAAAATAGTAAAAAATCTCGGAATTCATAATTTCCACATCAAGACTCGATCTCTTGACTTATATACACATTACGCGAGGCAATGCATCGCGCGCGCGCGCTATCTCCGCCACTCTGACCCCTTTTATCGGATGCTCGTAAAGAGATTCAGCACCGACTTGTTCTCCTTTTGACTGCGGGCTTTACTAAACACATTCCAGAATCGCAGAGTCTCATCGCCCGCACCTGTAACGATCGCCTCGCCATCGGGTGACATCGCCAAATACAAAACTCTATACGAATGTCCGGTTAATTTGGCCACTTGTGTAAGGCTTGGATACTTCCACACCAGGATTTGGTTCTGCGAGTAACCGTGCGTACTCACTAATTCCGAGCTGTGTTTACTCCACGCCAAGTTGCACACCTGAAAGATAAGGAGTGAAAAAAGTTCATTTACAATTAATTGACTCTGAGCTTGATTGGAATGGAATATCGTAGAATTTGTAAAACAATTGACGTACAAATGGCTCGCTTCCTTAGCCTGCCTACAATGCTAATTATCCTAATGAATGAGCTATTTATTTTCTTATCGTCCGAGCCAACGCCGTTTATTATCGTTAATTTGTTGCCAATAATACGGACAAGATGATGCAAAACGAGGACCTTTATCCACGACTTTTCGTAGCACCGAAGCTTTTAAATGGCCGATTGAGAATTTCGTTGAGAAGCGTAGTTGTGTTTAATTGCTGCGCAACGTGTGGCCAATTCAATACGTTCGTTACATTTATTATCGTAAAACAAAACATTCATATAATTTATCGCATTAATATTGGGAGCACAGCAGAGCAACTACGGCAACATCAGCACAGCCTTCATCGCGACAAGACTTTTCTTCGGCTACTTATTCTAACAAATGCCGTCAAATCTCGGAATTCATAATTTCCACATCAAGACTCGATCTCTTGACTTATATACACATTACGCGAGGCAATGCATCGCGCGCGCGCGCTATCTCCGCCACTCTGACCCCTTTTATCGGATGCTCGTAAAGAGATTCAGCACCGACTTGTTCTCCTTTTGACTGCGGGCTTTACTAAACACATTCCAGAATCGCAGAGTCTCATCGCCCGCACCTGTAACGATCGCCTCGCCATCGGGTGACATCGCCAAATACAAAACTCTATACGAATGTCCGGTTAATTTGGCCACTTGTGTAAGGCTTGGATACTTCCACACCAGGATTTGGTTCTGCGAGTAACCGTGCGTACTCACTAATTCCGAGCTGTGTTTACTCCACGCCAAGTTGCACACCTGAAAGATAAGGAGTGAAAAAAGTTCATTTACAATTAATTGACTCTGAGCTTGATTGGAATGGAATATCGTAGAATTTGTAAAACAATTGACGTACAAATGGCTCGCTTCCTTAGCCTGCCTACAATGCTAATTATCCTAATGAATGAGCTATTTATTTTCTTATCGTCCGAGCCAACGCCGTTTATTATCGTTAATTTGTTGCCAATAATACGGACAAGATGATGCAAAACGAGGACCTTTATCCACGACTTTTCGTAGCACCGAAGCTTTTAAATGGCCGATTGAGAATTTCGTTGAGAAGCGTAGTTGTGTTTAATTGCTGCGCAACGTGTGGCCAATTCAATACGTTCGTTACATTTATTATCGTAAAACAAAACATTCATATAATTTATCGCATTAATATTGGGAGCACAGCAGAGCAACTACGGCAACATCAGCACAGCCTTCATCG